AGCGGGGATTCCCACCCTGCCAGCGAGGCCCTGGACTCGGGCAGAAGGGCAGCCGAGCATCCCTGCCCGGCAAGGGCAGCGCGCAGCAGGTCTGTGCTGAATGGACTTCAGCAGCTTGGCACAAGCAAATTAAGTGCGATTGCTTAATAACCTGCTCACGGCCCTTCGCTGGCCTTTCAGGGTTAATGGGTAAAAAGATGCATTGTTTTCAGCCAAGGCAGTAGCTGGGCTCTGTGGAGCACTGATGGGGCCGGAGGGCTGCTGCCAGGTCTGGGCATCACGCGTGCCATGGAGTCAAGCTGAGGCAGAGCCGCTGTCTCTCGGGGTCCAGCTCCACAAGCCGTGCTTGCTTCAGTTAGGTTTGCCTTCATGGCTATGCACAAGGGAAGGCAGCCAAGAGGTTTAAGCATGCTGGGGAATGCAACATGCATTACAATTGAGGTCTGCGTGCATGAGCACTTCACTGCCCTTGAAATTAAACAGCAGTTTTAGTAACACTCTTTTCTGTCCATGAGGGCATTTGCTAGCATTTCCTAGAAGCCCTAAGACTCACAGATAGATGGGAAGGAGAGGGGAAGGCATTGCTCACGTTGCTGATACGGTTTGGTCCACATGCAGGTTCATCGTGTCCCCAAGTGTCTGGTCAGGTGCTGCAGAGCCGGGTGGGGGGACCCAGCTGTGGCGGTGATGGGAGAGTATCAGAAAATATCAAAGCACTATAATTAATGAACTGGTCTTAAATCAGCGGGGGAAGCCTGACAGTTATCTGTGTTTTCCTCACCCAATGGGCCGCAGCTCATGGCTGGTCCCGTTTCCAGAGAAGATGCAGGATGGGAGCAGGTAGCAAGCAGGGATGCAGCGCGGAGACACTCAGCCCTGCTGACATCCCATAAACTCCCCTCTGTGCTGGCAGGTGACCTGGGACCCAGCAGGAGGATGGCAAACTCAACGCAGGGCGATGGGGGCCTCCCCAGCGCGGAGCTCTGGGTCTCCCATAACTGGATGGTAGTGGAGCCACTTGAGAGCAACGACCCGGAGGTGAGAGCCCCTTCCTGGCCCCTGCCCAGCAGCCGCTTCATTCCCCTCCTGCATAGCCATGGGGATGCTGACCTCCTCGAGCCAGGGATGGGGCAGCGAGGTGGTCCAAGGCTGAGCTGGTGGAACCCATCCATCCTCCGTGCCCTCTCTGCCTGCAGCGAGAGGGGGAGAGGGAGGGCATCCTCCAACCCTCTGCAGATAACATGGTCATAACTTTACACCTATTGCTCATACCCCTCTGAAGCTCTGATGTCCACACCAGAGCAGCCGGCCCACCAGGCCACGTGGCAGTTGCCCTTGACTCTCGAGCCCAAATGACAGCTGAATTATCTGGCAGCTTCCTGGCAGGTAGATATACAAAACATGGCCTGTGACCGGACATGTGAACTGTTTGGGATCAGCTGTACCAAGAAGGGATCTCATCTCCCTTCTCCAGCACCTTTCCAGGCCCCTCTCCATCACCCTGTCCCCTCCGAGGGTGCATCCCCTACTGCAGAGCATCCACGTCTCCCTGCAGAGCCAGCATGGGTGAAGCTGTTTTTCTCCCCTCCCAAAGGTGCACGCCATCATCAAGAAGGAGAAGCAGCGGCAGAGGCTGGGGCTGGAGTTAATCGCGTCAGAGAACTTTGCGAGCCGAGCGGTCCTGGAGGCCTTGGGATCCTGCATGAACAACAAATACTCTGAGGGTTACCCAGGGCAGAGGTACGGGGCTGGGGCAGAGTCCCACCCAACCCAAACCCTCACAGGGAGGGAGACGAACTACCCACGCTGTCAGATCTCACCTCTGGGAAGGAAGCGACATCCTTGTGCTGGCAGCCGAGCTCCTCCAGGGCAGGATCCGACCCTCTCAGCTTCTGTCCTTGGCCGTGCATGGGACAATCTCAGCAGAGTCATGTCTGCTGCAGCTGCTCTCCTGGTGGCTGCCACAAACACAGCATCACCCCGATTTCTCCCCAGGTTGGTCACAGGGACCATTCTGAGTAATGAGTTTGGGTTTAACCCCTGCCCTGTCCTTTACTGGCAGGTACTATGGTGGGACGGAGTTCGTAGACGAGCTGGAAAGGCTGTGCCAGAAGCGAGCCCTGCAGGCGTACAGGCTTGACCCCCAGAAGTGGGGCATCAACGTCCAGCCCTACTCAGGTAACGGGATGCTGAGGAAAGCCAGGCCAGCTGCACCGGCCTCCACACATCCTGGCACCTGTAACCAGGCCGGTGTGCTCTCACTGCAGGGTCACCCGCAAACTTTGCGGTGTACACGGCCCTGGTGGAGCCCCATGGCAGGATCATGGGGCTGGACCTGCCCGATGGCGGCCACCTCACCCACGGGTTCATGACGGACAAGAAGAAGATCTCTGCCACCTCTGTCTTCTTCGAGTCCATGCCCTACAAGGTACAGAGAGCTGCTCCAGCCGGAGCCAGGACATGATCATGCTAACTCTTGGTGCCTCTTAAAGTCAAAAGTACTGGCGTCAGGCTCCTGGCACCCCCTCCGGCAGGACGGCACTGCAGCTGTTCTTCACCCATACCAAGGTGGCTGAACCCTCCTCTTCCTCTCCCAGGTCAACCCCAAGACCGGTTACATCGACTACGACCAGCTGGAGGAGAATGCCCGCCTCTTCCACCCCAAGCTGATCATAGCAGGTAAGGATCAAACCCTTACTGATATCCCTGGTGACCCACCCTGGGTGGGGGTGGCTCCCTGAAGCCCATAGCACCCTGGTAAGCCCGTCGGCACCCACGGATGCTGCAGTGCCAGGAGGAGATCTCAGACACATCCACACTGGCAGGAGCTTGTGTGCTGTCCCCATCGTAGGGCTGGACCCGGAGCAGTCCCAGGGTCCTCGCGCATCTGCTCCTGTCCTCTCCACATCCCATCTCCCTGCAGGTGTCAGCTGCTACTCACGTAACCTGGACTATGCCCGCATGCGGAAGATCGCTGATGCCAACGGTGCCTATCTCATGGCCGACATGGCCCACATCAGCGGGCTGGTGGCTGCCGGCATGGTGCCCTCCCCCTTTGACCACTGCGATGTCGTCTCCACCACCACCCACAAGACCTTGCGGGGCTGCAGGGCTGGCATGATCTTCTACCGCAAAGGTGCCTGACCTGGCCCAGGAGCTGGGAGAAACGATCCCCACAGGCTGGGGGGGCTGCAAGTTAAAGCCCCTTCCTGCTCTAGCTGCGAAGGAGGGAGGGCAGGAAGGTCCAGGGCCTCCTGGGAGCATCTGGGGAGCTTCCCAGGGCCCAGATTTGAAGAGGAACAACCACCTTCCCTGCTCTGAGTAGTCAGAGGGTGAAAGCAGCTCCTGAGAGAAGGGTGGCCGTACTGCCTTGTGAGTGACTCTGCCCTCCCCTCCCACAGGCATCCGCAGCGTGGACCCCAAGACAGGCAAGGAAACACTCTACAACCTGGAGAGCCTCATCAACCAGGCAGTCTTCCCGGGGCTGCAGGGAGGCCCGCACAACCACGCCATTGCAGGTACGCATCCAGGCTGGCTGCCAGCTCCAGGACAGCAAAGGGAGCCGGCAAAGATGTCCTGGCTGGGCTCTGACCCCCAGCAGCAGTGCAGGGGGCTCCAGCTGCCCCGAGGGGCTCGCAGCCTGAAGATACCACGGCAAAGAGCAACCAGCTTTATCCTGCATTGCCCGAGGAGTGATCAGGCTTCTCCTATCCTGCCTTTTGGCTCGTGGCGACACCGCCATCCTGGTTAGAGGAAGGGACTGTCCATCAGTTTGCTCAGCTTCCAGGATGCCTTCTGCTGGCAGTGCCACACATCCCCACCAGCTCTCCCAGTGGGAGCCCCCCAAAAACTCACCCTGGTTGCTCTCCTCCCCAGGGATCGCCGTGGCGCTGCGGCAGGCCATGACGCACCAGCAGCAGGTGGTCGCGAACTGCAAGGCGCTCTCGGCAGCGCTGATGGAGCTGGGCTACGACATCGTCACGGGTGAGGACAGGTCTCAGCGGTGGGATGGGGCTGACCCCTGTGTGTGGCCTGAGGTCTGAGCTAGGCCATGAGGGCAGCATGTGCATGGATGCGACAGGCAGCGCTCTGCCATCGCAGCTCCTCAGGACATCCACAGAACTATTTTGGAGCAGCCCCCTTTCCCAAGGGCAGGCCCCCTTTTGCCCGCAAAACCAGGGGCAGGCCCTGGTGCAATCCCAAGCCCTTCTCGCTGAAGTTTCATGTGGGAGAAGCATTTACCCCAATCCCACATCCCTCACCAAACCACCTCTCATTGCAGGGGGCTCCGACAACCACCTGATTCTCCTGGATCTGCGCAGCAGGGGCACGGACGGTGGCCGGGCTGAGCGGGTGCTGGAGATCTGCTCCATCGCCTGCAACAAGAACACATGCCCCGGTGAGGGATCCCGCAAGCTCTGCCGAGTCCTGCCCCACACACTGGGGATCTCCCCTGGCCTGTGCAGAGCTTCCTGCAGGGCTCCCAGCTCCCAGTCCACCCCAGACACTGGGAACCAGGCTGAAATCCCGTGCGTGGCGGTTTCAGTACTGGGTTTGGTCACGTATGACTTGTTCTGGTGCAGGCGATGTCAGCGCCCTGCGGCCCAGCGGCCTGCGGTTTGGGACACCAGCTCTCACCTCCCGCGGCTTCCGGCAGGATGACTTCCGCATGGTGGCTCAGTACATCCACAGAGGTGAGGCCGGGGCCGGGCTCACAGGTGGGGACGTGTGGGGCCAAATCTCAGCTCCAGCAGCAGCCCAGGGCTGGGGCAGCTCCTCTGGGCTAGGAGGCACCGACTGAGCCAAGCTGGGTGGCTTCCCCAGCAGCTGGCAAGGGAGCACGCACACAAGTGAGGAGGAACTGTCCGATCTACACATCTGGATGTGGGAAAGGGCATCTGGCCACAGCTGGGACTGGCCAAACCCTCCCCACTGTACAGCAGCGGGCTGAAAGCCTGCACCTTTCACAGTCTTGTTCCAGTTGTCCTCATGGGTCCCACACTGGTTTCCCGAGGCAGCAAGTCCCTGCTCCTTCCCTCCCACGTCTCCGGGAGCTGCTGCAGGGGCAGGCAGAAGTGTTGCAGCTGTGAGGGCTGACCAGTGCATCTCCCATCCTGGCAGGGATCGAGCTGACGCTGCGTGTGCAGAAGGACATGAGCCCCAAGGCCACGCTGAAGGAATTCAAGGAGAAACTGGAGGATGAGAAATACCGAGAGGAGCTGAAGGCACTGAAGGAAGAGGTGGAGGCCTTCGCAGCGACCTTCCCGCTCCCAGGGCTGCCTGTCCTGTAAGGGGAGGCACCCATGCCTGCTCCCAGAGCCATGCAAGTACCCCGGATTGTGGCACGCTCGCACCCCCAGCCCAAGACCGATGCCCCAGTGCCTTCTCCCGGCACCTCCCCACTGGCACTGGCTGCGGTGCAGCGGCAGCTCCTTCTTTGCCTCTTACTCACCTTGCCCCTCTCCTTTGGGGCACAGCCCCCCCGCAGGGAAACCAGCCCTTTCACCGCTCAGGGTTACCATCGGGACTGAGCGCCAGGTAACCCTCAGCCTCACGGCCAGGTCCAATCCAGCCCTCGCTGGCTCTGGGAGCAGCAGATGAGGTTTAGCCCACATTCACCCCTGCCCACAGTGGCTGGGAGGGACGTGTGGGGGTCCATCTCTGCAGGAGCCACCCTCCCTGCAGCCATGCACACAAGAGACTTCACAGCCCCTAAATGCCTCCGACCTGGTTTCAGCCTCGAGGATTCCCCTTCGTGCGCACAAGCCTGCTCTCCTTTTGTGCCTTCCAGCCTCCGCAGGCTTTGACAAGGCCCTCAGAGCTTTCCTGGGATCACCAGCCCCTCCTAACCACCCTCTCCCGTATTTTCTCAGACCTCTGAGTACAAAGCTTAGGTAGAACCATTTTTTAATAAGCACAGTAAAATTAAGAATTTAACCACAATGTATGACAAGAATTATAAGCTTTAAAAAATACAACCAATTTTTTTTTTTTTGTATTTCAAAAATATCTGAACCCAAATAAATAATTTTTTTTTTAAAAGTACATTTCTCAGACTAGTCATTTGGTGTTAACATCTGTTAAACTCTTGTGCAGTAACACTTACAGCACGACACTAAGACATGCTTCTTGGATTTCTCCCGGTCACACTCACTCTAACTACTGACGCAAGCATTCGGCACGCGCAGGCACACACACGTAACTCAACATGCAGTAATAGGATACAGTGCTTTAAAAGAAGATGAGAATTCATCACAGCCTCCTCGCAGCCCTCAGAGGCAGCTCTTAGCCCAGCCCTATCCCTGTGCCGGCAGCAAGGCGGCCAGCGGGACCGGGTACCCTGTGTTTCTGCCTTCCAGTTAAAAACGCATGCGGTGGGTTTGTCACCCCGCCGATACCGGGGTACGGTCTGTTGCTCTGACGTTGTGCTACTGGGGCACGGCGTGGAGCCGGCGCTCTCCCTCAGCCTGGGCAGCTCACCGAATGTCCCCATCGCACCTTGTTACAGGAGCCTTTTCAAAGTGCTGCTACAAGCCCCGAGTCCCGCACAGCTCTCTGAGATGCTGAATCCGCAGCGTGGGCACTCACCCACCACCAGACCCAGGGCTCAGGACACCCCAAGCTCGACAAAAGCCAAAGAACCGGCCCCAGGGGCATGGAGCCGTCAGCTCTCACCCCTCAAGTGCCTCTCCCACCCCTTACAAAATGGTGAAATATTGCTAGAGTATAGGCAGTACTTCCCTAGTCAAGGCAAGACAGCTTTGGAGCTGCTTAGAAGTGATTGCTACTGGATGAAAGTAAATCCGAGCACTATTCTCTGAGAAATGAAACCTGTGTAGGGTTAATATCGCCTACTCCTATGGCTGACCCTCCTCGGGGTGGGATCTGAAAGCAGCACTAGTGTAGAGTAGAGCAGGGGCTGGCAGTCAGAGCCTGCTAACGCAGGAAAGCGGAGGAGTAAGAAAAGGGAGCTCTGCCTTCCCGGCCAGGCAGCAGACGGCCAGGGGAGACTTCTGCTCTGATGAATTCTCGGTCAGGCTTAAAGCCTCCTCTCCCGACAGCCAGCAGAGAGAGGAAGGGGCCAGAGCTGGCTGTGTGGGAGGCGGGGGCATGCTGGCAGCACTCACGGAAGCAGGCGACGGCCATGCACAGCACCGTTGGCTCGGGAGGGTTGGTGCGGACGGGCTGGTGAGTATTGCACTGCGGCTGCGAGGAACCTGCGCTGCTCGTGGTGGAAGGATGGTTGGACGGCAACGCGCGGCGCTTGGGCGGTACGGTGCAAGCCGACGAACACACATGCCAAGATTCATCGCGGGAGCTGTTAGTGCGAAGATCCTAACTTGTTATAAGTCTGCTAATATCAGAAACTAGTGAGGTAACACAGTGAAGATGACGAAAAAGTCTTAAAGTGCCGATATAGGGATCTTTACTGTACAGGAGCAGAAGGTCAGACAGAGAAATTAATGAGCAAAGAGGAATTCAGCTCCCAAAACACCAACTGCGCTCAGACTCCCCCCGATTTCTGCCGCCATTATGGGTGCCACAAGCAGCAAGGGCAGGTTGGCCTCTGGCTGCACCACGGTGCCGCATCCCGACCTAACTCCCCCTTTCCTGGAGTCCAAGATCAGAGGTTACCCTGCCGCGCGCCAGCTTTCTGAGGGGACAAGCACTCCAAGTCATGTTTCCTCACAGCTCCTGCTGTGTTGCAGAAAGCGCAGAGCTTCCATTTTGAAACAGGTGACGGCTCAGCAAAGCCTCCAGGGCACCCTCCGAAATCAGAGCTGCTTTGTGGCAGAGAGATGAAGCAGGTCAGACAGGTGGTAGTGCAAGTATTGCTCAACACAGCCTTGAATCAGCAAGAAGTAAGTTATTTATCAATTTATGAGTGCAGCTGAACACCACAGGTCGAGACCACTGTGACGAAGAGATCAGCCAACACTAATCATCCATCCCGCTCCGCCGCTCTGTGCTGCCAGCCCAGAGGAAGACTTACGTGAGTCAGCACGAAAAGAAAAGCTCGTCTCTCCCTCCTCAAACCCAAATAGCATCATTTTCCAGCAGGAAACAAGCTCCCCTGCTGAGCACTTCTCCAGAGGTGTGTGTCAGGCAGGACGCAGCGAGCTTTCGTCTGCCCAGTGTCACCTGTGTTACTCATTTACTGAGATGCCTCTTCCCCTGGGGAATCTCGCCTCAGCTTTAGTGTAGAAACCATTGGGGTGCACACGAATTGACAAGGGGACACCTCAAGTCACTTCAGAAAGCAGGCGTTTTCAACGGACACGGAAGTCTTTCACCAGCAGACCCAGTTCACATGCGACAGGAGGGCACAGTTAGGAAAGGAAAAGGCCTTTAAACATGCTTTAAAGGCGTGCGGCCTCACGCACAGGCACACCGCTCGCCTTCAGCGAAGGCAACGCCATGCTGCTTCCCAACTGCAACCTAAAAACACCATCACAAGCAACCCCTGACCTCAGAAACCCCCTTGGAGAGTACCATGAACTCAGCTTGCCCAGCTGAGCTGGCCTCACTGTAAGCCACCAGAAACAACACTAACATTTAAAATAGCCTTTCTGCCCGGTTGGTTTATACCTCCCGCACCACCTCTCTTCCAGGGGAGAGAAAGAGGCGGCAGCGGTACCACAGCACAGATGCTGGTGACAGACGACAGCCTCTCCAGGGAGCCTCCTTGCCTTTGAGACACAGATTTCGGAGCAGCGCAGTTCTCAACAGCAAGTTTCAGTGGGGTCTAAGCCACGTTGAGAAACTCCAGTCTGTACACAGAAAACTTCCCTGGGCACGGAAGGAACATCACATTCACCTCCAGCATCGCAATAAAAAGAGGATATAAAAAAACCCACAAAAGAAATCAAACAACGCATCAGCTCATCTTGTACGATCTCAGCTGTTCTCACCCCATAATTAGAAGAGTGCTAAAAAGAAATAAAACCAAGGCCATCTTTCCCAGCAAGGCTTTTCTCTCTTAGAAGTACCACAGGGGCTGCGACCACCACATGGCAGTGGGCAGAGCAGACCACAGCATGGGACCAGTGGCCAAGGAGCAGCATCTCCTACGAGACTCCAGATGGAAGCACTGTGCGCGGGCAGAAAGCTTTCGGCACCGAGAGGAACAATCTGGGAGCATCACCATGCCGGTGGCACAATCTTTATGGCACAGGCAGCGGTGCAGAAGCTTTTAAAGGAAAGTCCTCAGCATCTGGACTCGGAGAGCGGCAGTTCTGCCCCGTTCAGAGCTACCCAGGAGCGCCCCGGGAGAGGTAGTCGAGACACGACAAAGGCTCGGCCAGAAGCAGCACGCAGCAATGCTGACCCTGCTTTACCACAAAACACAAAAGTCAATTCCCCAACAAAACAAAAAAAAAGGAAACTATTATGGATACAACATGGAATCCAGTACATTCATCCCTGATCTCTCCTGAGCACTTGTATCTCACCAGCCAGGCAGCCTGCTCTAACAGCCTGCTGTCTCACAGCGTAGCTTCAGCTGAATTGCACTGTTCATTTCCCCACCACAAAGCGCACCTGAAAATGAGACCCCCCCGGCTCTGCTCAGTTCCTCCTCTCTCCTTAAAAGGCCACCCTCAACCTCACACGCTTTGAGGATTCCCGGTCTCCTTCCACCCTTCTCAGAGGTTGTCCAGGAAATAGGATGTGACAAATTAACAAGGCACAGTGCTCTACATTCACAGCAGCGGGCGCTTTGGTGCTCGCCAGCACTGAGTCCTTCCACATTCCAGATTTTAACAAAGCTGAGAGAAACTGGCCAACGCTTTTGGGAGAGAAGCACGTGTGCCTCCACTGCGCTCCCACCCGCTCAGGGACAACCTGTCCCGGGAAGTGCCAGGAAACTCAGAAAAATGCAGGAAGGGACACCGTCCGCTACTGCTGCGCACAGACGGGTAACTGCAAGCTGCCATCCTGCCAAGGAGCTTCCGAGCTAGGCTCACGTGAGACACTCGTGGATTAAAAAACCTCACGTGGCCTTTACATCTCCCCTCTGGTCTCCGCCCTGGCTCCATGGGAAGGGACCAAGAGCATTTAGAGTTCTGGCAGAAGCGTGCGGAGCACTGTTTTATTTTGGGGGCTGCACACTAGTAAGTATTGATCCCCAAGACAGCCCACCTCTCTCTCCATGCCATAATCCCCCTGGGATGCTGCCATGATACTCTTTAAAAGTTAATAGTGCCCCTTCTAACATTTAAAAACAAAGTGCCTGGTGGTTTATGTGATGGAACATCTACATTCTTCGCTATAGAGAACCACACAGAAACCC